GGAATATAATCAATGTATTGGATAAAAGCTTAAACTGGATGGCAGACATTTTAAGGTGGGGCTATAATTAAGAACCCCTTGGCACCGGGAATGTGGTTCCCTGATTACTTTTTAAAATTGAGTTCAGTTCTTGTATTCATGTTAGGCAGCTGTCATCTCCTTGTAATTGCAGCAGGGAGCTGATGCCTCGGGCCATCCTCTCTGGGCACACTTGCCCTCAGACAGACAGACAGACAAACACACACACACACACAAATGAGTAAATAAAATAAATTATTAGAAACAAAATCTTAGTTGGGATTTTTTAAAAAAGATTTTCCTTATGGGTGGAAAAAATGGACAAGTTAAAATACTGTGCCTCTCAAGCTCCCAAACCAATGAGATGGTGAAGAGAACATGTTGCAGAGATGTTTCCGGTGATGGCTGGCTTATTTGTGTGATGTAAATAGTGTAAATAGGTTATAGAGCTACTTTTCTATTTCTGTAGTTAAACAAACACCAGATTCTTATGGTTCCAGAGGGTTTGAGGTCATGCTGATTCAGTGAAGGTATGGCAACAAGATTAATACTGAGGGTTCACCTCTCGAACTGTAAGCACGAGGTAGGAAAGGAGGGAACTGGGAATGGTTTGTGGCTTAGAAACCAAAAAACTTGTCCCCAGTGATATACTTCCTCCAAAAAGGCCACATCTCCCAAACCTACCCAAATAGCACCCCTCACTGAGGATTAAGGATAGGCCCACATTCATGGGGGATCATCTCTTAATCAAGCCTTCACATAGGTAAAGGCTGCATTATACTGCATCAATGTTTGGTTGTGGATGGGGGCCAGTATCATAGCAGTGGGGATCTGTGCAGCTTTCAAACATAAAGCCACTGAAAACATGTTCTGTGAGCCCTGGTTCCAGCACTTAATGTACTTTGTAAGGTTTTAGATAAGAAGTATAGATTGCTACATATATTCTAGGGCTTGTAACTCAGTTCCATTCAAATCAACTATAATGCTATAAGAATCCAAGACTATGACTATGATACTGGGACCTGTTTCCTCTGCATATTCTGGATTTTGGGGATCCAGTCTGTTTGGATACTCACCTTCCTGGACCTGGAGGGAG